ATAATCAGTCTTGGCCTTCCGAATACCTTTCTTCAGACTAACTCTGGCAACACTGTATCTTGCCCCATCACCGGACCTAAAGGCCTTGGTCCTGTCATGCAAAAGGCGCTGGACTTCCTTGGTCATCCAGGATTTTAGATTGGGATAGATCCTAATACGTTTATCCACAATGATAGCATCTGTGCAGTGTTTGATATAGCACAAAACAGCTGCAGTCTGCTCCTCTAGATCAGGGTGGTAAAAGATGTCCCAAATTGGGAAGAAGGACCACGTGTCGTAGTGAGACCGGCTGGAAAAAAGCAGGCTCTGCTGAACCTCGCGGAAATCCAGCCGAACAAACCGCTGTCAGGAAGTCTTTGGACTGAAACCTGTCCTAGAGGGACAGGGGAGAAGAAGAGATGACCTAGAGGAATCTGCAATTCCTCGGGAAATTGGAGAAAAACCCTTCAAACCGGCAGCGGGGGGAGGCCATAACTTAATGACCGCTATAAAGCTGGGGCACCTGGACTAAGTTATTGTACTGGAGCAGTGTCTGGAGTGAAGTGTTGAAATCAGTGAGTGACTGACCAACTCACAGGAAAAAAGTAAAAGCTGGTCTTAATCTTAAGGAATGTTATTGAAAAAAAGTGGCAGAGGAGGCTAAGCACCAAAGCCTGTCTCAATTTGGAAGGGAAGAAAAATTAACATCTAAAAGGAAAAAGCCCAGGAGGAAGTCTCTCTTCTCCTTATCTGACTCTATACTTTGTGGATTAAGTGTTTTTATTGACAGCTAGCTGTGGGATTGTACTCGGTTTGGAGAGAGCCATTTATCTTTGAGCAGAAAGTATTACACCGGCTAGTGAAGAAAAATAAAATTCTTCTTCTCCTTATTTTAATTTTATTTTTGTGTGGATTTAAAGTGCTTTGAAAGAAAAGGGGAAAAAAAAGGGTTGTAGCCGCAGTGTGACCTTGGATTCAGAAAGAGACTTTGAGGCCTTGGGAGTAATTGGGGAGTAGCTGCCTTTGCAAGATTGTTTTGACTGCAACTATCTTCAGCTGTGGAAGAGAAAAAAACGTGGATTGGACTGGATTAATTTTAAAATTGGGCAACAAAATCTGGAAGATCCTAAATTTGCAACTAAATGTTGGTATAACCCCAAAATTAAAAAAACGGTTAAAATAGTTAAATTTGCATAATGGAGATTTGGATGTATGATGAATTATTTGTGATGTTGAAAAGCGCGTGTGAAACGTTAATTGGTAAAGGAAAGCTAGGAAATCAAAGGGAACATACAGAACAAGAAATAAGAGGAGGTAAAAGGGGACATAAATGAGGTAGAGGAAGATAAGGTGGAAAAAAAATTGAAAATAAAATGCAGATACAAGATTTCACTGGGATTTACAGTCACAAAGGGAAAGTAGATAAAGGGGGAGATCTCCCAAAAAAGAAATCACAAAATAAGAAAAGGGGGAGAAAAGGGAAAAGCCTGTGTAAAGTTACTAGAATAATAAAAGTAAATACGATGAAGAAAAGATATAATAACTACAAAAATAGGGGAAAGAAAAAGTTGTTGTTAGGGGAAACGGGGAAAAGAAGGAAAAGAATTAAAACTGGGATTTTCGGGAGCTCAAAAGAAAACTGTTAAGAGGAAGAAAGGGAAAAGGAATTATATTAGTAGACTAAAGAGAATAGTAGTAAGATTTTATGTAACTAATTAAGAAATAAAAAATGGTAGTATATTGTTAATGGTAGAAAAAAATTGAAAGAAATGCTCTCTATGCTTAAATTGAATTAGAGGATGTATGCTATTTATAGCAAAATATATCAATGGAGAAAATAAGAATGAACATTTGGTGTAACTTTGAAGGGGCAATTGAAGATATTGTTTATATATTAAGAAAAAAATAACTATAAAAATGGAAAATAATGGAAGAGAATAATTTGGCTGAAAGTGAAAACAAAACTATGATGTAAAAAAGACTATGTAATTGAGAACATGTAAAAGGAGACTCGGACAACTCTTTGTTCCTATAATATGTATAATTTGTATTAAAAAAAAAAATCCTTGAATGAGTAAAAAAAAAAAGATGTCTCAATTTGTGTTCTCAAAACAATCCTGAAGTTGATGGGAAGCATCTTCTGGCCAAAATTTCATTGGCCAATTTTACAAGTTACATTGGTTAATTCAAAAACTATGCTGTAAACTACACCAAACTCATTGTAGCCGTTACAGTAGATATAAACTAAGTTATTGATGGCTTACTTGGAAATAAAAATAATGTATTAATTTAATAAAAATAATTTAATAAAAATAATGTAATAAAATTTAATAATTTAATAAAAATAATTTAAGTAATGTATTGAACAAGCTTCCAATTTTATTTTTCACATTTATTTTGACTAAGCAATTAAATGGGTTAATTTACTGTCACATAATAGCCTTTATATTACCTAGGTAGAGATCTAACAGTACTTGAATTTCAAAGTTTGTTCTTTATAGCCAACACACAGACATACACAAATGTTTGAGTTTAGAAATGTAGAATTCAAAATTTGCAACAGTGCTTGTAAAAATAGAGGAAAATAAATGAACTGAGGTTTAAAAAGAGGAATATCCTTGTTGTTTACAGAAAGCAATGCTACAGTCCTACACTCAGGTGGCAACCAGCTACTGCATCTAAAATATAAAAATCTGAACAATCATTGACAGTGAAAAAGAACACAGGACACAAAATATCTTAACTGCTAATTAGTGATTGTTCAGATTTTTGTATTTTACATATGCTATTCCTACTTGAGGATCTTTAATTTAGATCAATAGGATTTGGGGTATTTCTGTATTGACCACACTGAAAGTATTGGGAACCCCTAATTTTATAAAATGGACTGATTTGGACTGATTCTTCAGTCAGAAGTCATAATGTGAATATAAGGTTTACTGCAAGGGGCTTCTTATATTTTGTTGTATTGTGGGAAGTTATCATCCAACCCTCTCCCAGTAAAAATGAAATATCCTAGGAAATATTGAAAAGGCAGAAT